ATGGTTCTTGAACGTCGCAAGGGTAATAAACTTTCCCCTAACTTGTTCGCTTATCTTTATCTTTTCGCCCTGGTAAAAATCGAACCATAGTCTTTATACCGAAGACGCTTTTTGCACTGTCGTCTTCCCCTGACTAACATACTGTTCTATTTTCAAATGTTTCATCCTAGGTTTCATCCAATCATCGAATCTCAGACTGCATATGTTTTACATATACGCATCTAAAAAATGGACTCATGACAGTACATAATTGGGTAACTTCATTAAACCTTTTCTTGGATTGACATAAACGCCTATCTACATTCAACCAGTCAACGTCTTCTTTAACTTACTGTGTTGGATCAGGTCCTAGATGGAATTACTAATCGCTGCTTGTGTGAAAACATCAACATCGCCAACGGGTTTATTTACATTGCCTTGTTTTTTAGGACTTCTAGGGGTTTTCCTGATTTAGAAATTTGGGAAATAGAAGTCACTGTTCGCAGGCCACTCACCTCTCTTACTGCTGCGACTGGTAAAAGTGGACCCCCAATTTCTCTTTCTGGTTCAAAATAACGAATAACGTTAGAAATAAGTTGCCTAGTTTTTCTTGGTAAACCCGATGGCATTTCTGGGTTAGGTATACAGTTTTTGGCGCAGAATATCGCAATGAGATTTACGGAAGTACGCGATCAAATAAATATTGAAAACTGTAACACACCATTGTCAAATTTAACGTGGCGCATTGTAAACGTAAACTATCACAAATCAGTCTAACATATAAATACGTAATTTCAACGTTTATTGTGGCTTAATAGTATTTTACATTATTAGCCAGGTAAGTGAGTTTTTACTGGCGATAGGAGAAGTTGACTGGCGAGCCGTTAGGCGAGCCTGTCATCTCCTAGAGCCAGTAAAAACTATTACCTGGCGTATAATGTACAATATTTTATTTGTTACTCATTTGTAAACGTAAATAATTAGTTCTTAAATTGATCTTGAAGAAATGTCTAAAATATCATGTGATCCATGTAACAGAGACTTCGCATTAATTCTGGCCAATGAAATTACTAGATTACTAACTTGTAAAATTTTTACAAGTCTGCTGTCAGTTTTACAAGTCAGTAGCGTTTAAACATGACGTTTACCCGTTTGCGTTTTGTCTTGTTAATCAACGTTTACAACTGAGTAACAAATAAAAGTTTTTTTAAAAATTTTGTTAATACGTTGGCATCCTACTTTATTAATATATTTTTGCAGTGTTTTTCTGAATGTGTTTTAGTTAAGTTGTTAGTTTGGGAACGGCAATGTTTTATGTAAATAGAATTTTGTTTTTTATCTATAAATGTAATGGCTGGCCTATTATTGTGAAAAATTTTGTCTGTAGCTAGTGCCCTATCCCAATATAATGTATGTGTGTGGTTTTCCAGTATTATCTGTGAAGTGTATTTGTAGTAATGACCTGGTTTTGTTACTAACATGAAACTTTAAGTCTCTTGGAACACATTCAGAAAGTCAAGTGTGCGTTATAAGAATCAACACAATATCCTGATGGTTAAATTCTTGTAGAAATTGTCCATAAAAGGCTTTTGGTTACCCGTATAGGTACCTATGTTATTTGTGAACTATTATGTAAGTTTTGATGTGGGCGGAAGAATATTTGTTGTCATCCTATACTTTTATATCTGGCTGTAGATTTTTCGGCTAGCACGACGAGAGTGGAAAAGAGGAAAAGGGATTTTACAGAGGCGGCCAATTAGTAATCAATAAGACTTTGGAGCACATTCTCATAGCATATATAAGTACCTACGGGCAGAGAGGAGTGGACAAACTTTTATCGACAAGCGGCGAGGAATCGAAAAATTGGCTCTTTTCTAGGATTCTCGGCCTCAAGCAATGTTGACTCTATTTTATGCAAGAAAAATTTGTGAATTTTGGGGGGATCCAAAGAAGAATTATTATGGGGAGGGGGAGGAGGGCGTTACAATTTTGCGTTTGGTTTATGTTCGTGTTCGATTTCCAAGGGGCACACCATTTGCCTGTGATGAGTGAAGGTGACGGTTAACGACATTAAAGGTCTCTACCCACTACAACGTATCATACCATGACCGTAATAGGAACGTACCAGGCAAAAAAAATATTGTTTGCATGGAATAGTATGAAACTATGCCCACTACACCGTTTAGTCACCGACCAGCACCATAACGTGCCATGCACGGAGCGTCAACGAATATTTTGACGGTGCCGATACGCTCCGTGCATGGCACGCGACGGTCCCAAACCGGAAGTACATATGACATTTTTTTCGTCATCGACTAGGTCTAAATAATGCCCAGTATTCTCCCTCGACTTTTCGTTTCGCACCCTCTTCCTGACGTATTTGTTTACAAGTACAACCGAGCCAACGGGAACCGTACGGATACGATACGCGGATGCTCCGGTCACTATACAGGTTACGCACGGATATGATACGCGTATGATACGGTGTTGATACGGTCTAGTGGGCATAGTAGTCCGTGTCGTATATTTTCCGTGCCTGATACGTTCCTATTACGGTCATGATACGGTACAGTGTAGTGGGCAGATACCTATACCTTCTGCCCACTACACCGTACCGTATCATGACCGTAATAGGAACGTATTAGGCAAGGAAAATATACGATATGGACTACTATGCCCACTAGACCGTATCAACACTGTATCATACGCGTATCATATCCTTGCGTAACGGGTCGGTACGCGTCGACTCGCCAAGGGCGACTCGCCACCGGACCACTCGTCACCGACTGACTCACCAACGGGACAACTCGTCAACGCGACAACGCGCCAACGGGACAACTCGCCACCGCGACAACTCGCCAATGCGACAACTCGCCAACAGACGACTCGCTACTGCGACAACTCGCCAACAAAATATTTTTCCCTGTTTAATGTGTCGTTCAAATAACGATGTGATTGTCAAATTTTCTGTTCAAATAATAATTTGCAGAAGATGTCGTTATATCAAAATGCAGTAATAGAAACAGATATAGGCGGTTGGGTCTTCATTCAAATATTGACTACAATTTTTCGATAAACTTTTTTTGACAAAATTAGGGAAATTGACTTTTGCATTTGTGGGATGCATTTGTATGACACATTAAACAGAGAAAAATATCTCGTTGGCGAGTTGTCGCAGTGGCGAGTCGCCCGTTGGCGAGCTGTCGCATTGGCGAGTTGTCGCGGTGGCGAGTTGTCGCGTTGTCCCGTATCGAGTTGTCGCGTTGGCGAGTCGTCGCATTGGCTAGTCGGTCGGTGGCAAGTGGTCCGGTGGCGAGTCGCCCTTGGCGAGTTGACCGTGTCTCTGCACGGAGCGTATCGGCACCGTCAAAATATTCGTTGACGCTCCGTGCATGGCACGTTACGGTGCTGGTCGGTGACTAAACGGTGTAGTGGGCATAGTCTCATACTTCCATGCAAACAATTTTTTGTTGTGTCTGGCACGTTCCTATTACGGTCATGGTATGATAAGGTTGTAGTAGTGGGTAGAGACATTTAAGGATGAAATCAACATTGAATACGTATTCGTTGCTACTCAACGACGATATAGTTACCGATACGAGATCGAAAGTACACGCAAGGGGCAGGCATTGAAAAAGCAAACATCGAAACTACTACTAATATATTTCCGGAAGGAAAAATGGGGAATGAAAACCTCAATTTCAAAATGAGTCTATGCGTTGAGTGAAGGATTCACTCAACGGTCTTTGCTAATTTTGTGTTATTATAGTCAGTATAGGTACCTGTATGTACAACTATGTTAAAGCTTCAGTGGGTCTATCAAGACCCTTTTTCCAACACACATCATCTTAGATTATAACGGACGATCAAAAATGAATGGCGATCGAGTCGCCTTTGGAAGTTCAAGTTAAGTACAATTTCCTAGGTAAACAAAAATTCCAAAGGTAACTCGACAGCAACTCATTTTTGATCGCATACCTATACTAGGTATGTAAGTATATTTAGGTACCTGTTTATCCTATTTTAAGCAGATTTTCCAGCGAATTTTAAATAAAGAGGCTCATTCATGCGATTTGCGTTTTCATTTGCCAATTGATGAAACATTTCATAGCCGTAGAAATACCAACCTGTTGTGAATGTATTACAAGGCGAATATGCAAAACAGTTTTCCGTTTTAGAATAGCGTCTGTAATTTCGTTACCGAGAACGAATTTTAAAGTGCAAATTAGGTCTTCGACGGAACGCTTTTGAAAGAGAGCTACTGATTGAGGTGAGATCCTATCAATGCAAAACGAGTACAATTTAAAAAAAAGGCAAAGTAATTAAGAATGTAACGCGCGCGTATATAAAATCACGGACATATGACAAATAACAGTTGACCCATAAACAATGTATAATTTGAGATCCGAGCGCGCCAAGTTTGGGGGGTGAGGTGAGGGTCACGCAATGGGGCAGATACGCCGTTATGACTGATGACCGCCATCCACGCCCTTTGCCGTGACAATCCCGACATGAACTCCTTCGTCGATATCGCGATTATACGATCTCCTTTATTTTTTACAGGTATAGGCATATGATGAAGATGACAATAATACCTAAGTATACACGGCGTATCTCTGCCGAATGGTAAAACCGCACAAAGGAAACGTGCACCGTTCTCAATTGAAAGTTATTAAGAGGAAGATGGTTAATTTAAACGCGAAACAATTAACTCGAGTTGAACCGCAAACAATCCACAGGCTTCTGGGGTTACGAGGGGGCGAAAACAAACAGAGCGAAATGGTAACTGGCTGCACATTTTGTATGCATCAAAATCCGCTCGGTTGGTATGTACACAGCCTAGAGGTTGGAATCCGGGATGAGAGATTCCCGGAATATCCTGGAGTATCGACCGTCGTGATGCTCTTATCTCGCCACCACTGGCGGGGCATCTCGCGAGGCGGAGCAATGCGCAAACAATTGCGCCAACCAAGAGACGTACGTAGCATCCCGATTCGGATTTATATGCGTACAAACGAGATAGCGTTATGTAAGGTAATGCCAGATAAATCGAGAACAATATAGCGCGTAGGTGTATGATAATATCGGTAACAAAACCGCGATTCAAATCAAAAATTACAGCACAGTCGCCTCGAAGAAGTGATAAAACATGACAGCGAATGGTGGCTTGTGATTGGTCTGAATGTGCATGAAAAAAGACGATCGCGCTTCTCATTGTCTTCGTTCACAGCCGTCTTGACTTCGCTTACCTTAGTGTTCCCATCAGGATATGAAGGCTAGTTTTGAGCCAAAAGTGGTTACATCTCAAAGTTTTTGAGTTTACGATGCGATCCAAATCGGTTGCTAGAAGAGTCGCGGCTCAAGGTAGGAACGCTTTTTGGCATCTAACCGCTTAAACTGCAGTTGCAATTGTTTAAAGGTCCTTCAGACCAATTGAAAAATCGCTGCATGTGCGCCCCTCAAATTTGCATTCGTTCTGGGGAAATGTCGCAAATCATGCGATCGCTCGAAAAAGTTGGCTTTAAAATAGTTGTTAAATTGTATAATTAGTCGAGAGCGATAAATGTATATATGATCAATTTAAAAACACCGGCACTAATTAGTATAACAATTTCGCTTGATAAGAATTGACACGTTTGTAAATGCTAATCTGACCATTGTGGCATCCCGTTTGAGAAACTGTTTCCTTCGTTATTGTATTCATCCGAAATGCCTTTAAGATGTTAATTTGAACACTTTATGCATACTTTGATAACACTAATCAAATCTAAACCGCCATCTTTTATTGTTGAAACAAATATCAGCTGGACGTTATCAAATTGCCAAAATACAAATACATAATCAAAGTCGAATAATAGGCGCGATCCCTTCTTTGTTTATTACTTATTTATACACAGTTAATCGCGCCGATCTAATTACCTACCGATATACCTATACCTTGCAGATTCAAGATCGGACCTACCACAAGAAAGCATCCTTAGGTACCTTTTTAAAATGAGGAAGTCCAATTTAAGCGTTTCGCGGTTATTCGCTAATTTGATAAGGTACTGACAACACTACAAACGAAAATTGTTTATCTGACAAATTATATTGGTTCAAAACCGTCGTCAACGTGAAAATACCTATTTTCAGGCGTCAAAATGAGTTCAATCGAAATTTTCTTTAAATACAATACCTACAAACCGCATCATCCGTCACTACTAGTACCTGCGAAAAGTTATTCATTGTTTTTCGTAAGAAAATGAAGCATTGAGTAGGTATTGAGCACGTATACCTACCTAGTTCATTTGGGCAATTTCTAAGGTTTATTAGAAAGTGCACCACCGTAACATAGATTAGGTACAATGAAGAATAGGAAGCTGTGTCAAGCTTTTTCGGTTTTGCTTATCTACAACAGCTCTTAATTTTGCACCAAGACTGACACAAATACCTGCATCAGGGTGTACTATTCCTGTAGGTCACCCAGCGCCTACTCGGATCTCTTAGGTAGGTATATACAGAGTGGTGACTTGCGTAACGCATCATAGGGATTTCAATGTAAAATTCATAACATGCGATTATTGGCTCCCCAAATTATTTTAGAGCAAAAATGTATTAAGGTTTTTTGTAGAAAAAAAATGTTTACGTCAATCAACCGTATTAGTTTTCAATTTTTTGCATAATAAAGACGGAAAATTGGAAAAATAAAGCCCCCATATTTTTAAATAATCTATGATGCCATGGAATTTTATAGGTAATACAAAAACTACGCCAATATCCGTCATGCCATGGAATGTCTGCTATAAAACAAATCAAATTCTATCAAAAAGTATTATATTTAGAACAGCGAATTCAACATAAAGAAAGACCAAATTACTAAAAACGGTTTCCTAATATAACAATTTACAATAAATCTTCGAATAAGCCAGCATTAACTGCAAGACAGTAACCAAGTCGACCATAAAATCCATTTCGAACTGCTGCTAATTGATAACTGGATATCTTTTTGTTTTAGAAAATTTCATGGCATCGCAGATTTATTGAAAAAGATGGGGATTTTATTTTTCCAGTTTTCCGTATTTATTATGCAAAAAATTGAAAACTAATACGGTTGATTGACGTAAACATTTTTTTTCTACAAAAAACCTTAATACATTTTTCCAATCCAATAATTGCATGTTATGAATTTTACATTGAAATCCCTATGATGCGTTACGCAAGTCACCACCCTGTATATAAAGATTCGTTGATGAGAATGTCTCACCGTGTCTATAAGAAGAACCCTGGGTTCCAGCATCTTTTGAAAGACCCTGCACATGGCTGCAATTACCACCTCCCATCGCGTACATATTTTTTCGGATTTTAAACTACGCGGGGACATTTTTATGTAATTTATCTAACCTTGTGTGTGTTTTTTCAACTTTGAGAAAAGTGTTAAGTGAGGCACATTATAACCAATCCCCAGTGGTGGTAGACCGGGGTGGGTCCAAGATTCGTATTCCTGAAAAGATTAAGAATAAATGTATAATCTGCATCAAAATCAGATAGGTACGTTTTCCACGACATATAATCCCCCAATTTGCCATTTAGGTTACGTTCTGAACCAGGGTATATATAGAAACGTCAATTACCGGGGCTACTTTGATCTAGTTTAGAGAGTTTTGAATGACAGTTGGGAACTCACAGCGACTGCCAGATTATTCTGCAAATTTACTGATCTAGCATGGGAGTCTACAGACCTTTCATAGGGGATTTGCTCATGTTTCTAGACCATATTTGCTTGAGACTGGCGAAGGTGCGTAATTATAGGTAGGTACACATTAAAATGTACCTACCTATGAAAAACACATTTGATCTAAACTGTAAAATGACAATTGATTTTTGTACGATTATTTAAAATCCTACCTAGGTATAAAAAGTAGGTAGACAAACAAAATGTCGAATGCAATTTTGTGATAAAATATAGGTTGGCACATTTATCATTTATCAACATTCTAGAAAACTTTCCAGAGTTTTCTATTACTCTACGAAATCTCCTAAACACTTTTAAGAATGGGCGCGCGTCTGTCTATAGAAGGTACCTACTGAAAGAGAAAGTGAACTCTTAAATTCACCTTAGACTCTATTTAGAGCTTTATAGCGACTCTTCCTATATGACTAGACCAGCTTAAAAAGCCCCGCAAATGCTCCCAGAATGCTCCCAAAAAGACTCTGACGATTTGTAAAGGACAAGAATGCTCTGTATAAAAGGTTTGGAAAAGTGTACAAAGCTTCAGGGCCGACGGGGAGGAGGGGAGGTACAATAAGGCTAAAGAATTCTTTACAGCGCATATGAAAAAAGAGATAGAAGTGCTCTAGAAAAGGGTCAGCACGCTCGTAAAAGATTTAGGATGCTCTAAAATGCGACCTGAAAGGGCGTTTATTTGCGTTGTAGAGAGCATTGTCGATTCGTTTAGCATTTTCTAGAAAATCTATTGCCCATACAACAGATTTAAGGTGTGGTGCACCATACATCCTATATGCCCACTTTCTGGAACCATATCAGCACTAACAGCTCGGGAAATGGCATAGAAAGTTTTGGCGGAGCGGGAGGCTCTATAAAGAACTGAGAAAACTCTGGAAAATTCGAAAATTCTAGAAGAATCGCACAAAGCTTTCTAAGAATGCAAAACGTTCTCCTATGTGCCTGAAAAGTTCTAAAAGGACCGAAAACCCTCAAAATACCTTTTAGTGTATTCTAAAGCATAATAAATGTCTAAGAACTCTTGGAGAAGCGCCTATAGCCCTTTCAATTGTTTTCAGCATCTTTTATATACAGATTATTTCCTGTGTTGAATGCGCCTTGCATGAACGCCCCAAAAAGGTTAAAGAATTTCTTTATGAAAGACACTTGAATACTGTTTTCGGCATTTCTCAGCGTTACGTAAGTACCTACAATGGTCAATATCAATCACTACTGGTAGCTAATTTCACAAGTCTGACGAACTGTGTACTAATTTCCTACTGTTAAGGGGGTATAAAAGGGTTGCAACGTACTTCTTTCAATATTGAAGCAACTTCAGAGGAAACAGCGAAATTCCTGATAAAAAATAAATTTTCAGATAGATCTGTAAATTCCAAAAAGATCAGTAAATTCCCAGATAAATCTGACAACTCTGTAAAATTCGTAGACAAATGTGTAAATAATTGCTCAAAGGCTGCAATTTTGGTAGTAAAGGGCAACCGCACTGTTTGTTCCTGAAATTGCACCTTTTGTCATTCTTTATGTATCAATAAAAAATGTTATTATTTGCTATTTGCAATTTGTGGTGTATTGTATAGCAGTATGGTCTCATCTCATCAGAAAAGCTCTGAGGCCTTTCCCTTAAATAACAGCTTTACCTTTACCTTACGATTTCGCTAAATGTAGATTGTAAGGAACCAATTATATGCTCTGAGCTGTGAGCAATAGATTCTTTTTTCAACAAAAAATTATATTCACTGCGAAAAGACTTTTTGCTCTTTTTTTTACCAAAGCGGAATATTTAATTGAAAGTTCATTATTATTTTCAAGTGGGCTAGAGCTTGTTATACCTAATTTTGTTAACCTGTGCCTCGTACAACCTCGCCTTTAACCGCGTGTGCTTTGCCGTCACCGCTGTTAAATCGTCCTGTCCTGTGGTTATATGCAAATTAAATTGCATCCTGTGTCCCTTTTTTTTATAAAAGCTCCTTCTATGTTGTTTAGGCCCACTTAAAGCGAGTTAATGGCTTTAAATGCTGTTATAGAGAACTGCTGCAGTTACGCTACTCGTTGTTGTATATACCAGCAAATCTTACAACAACATTTCTTATATTTTTAGTTTATGGGTAATTTAATCATTTAGTACAACAATTGTAACCATTATACCCGAGTAGAATTTTGTGGTTCCTTAACAGAACATACAGTATACAAGAAATTGCGGTGTATTTCATCCAATTAGCAATATAATTTAAAAATAAGTGAAATAAAATGAAATCATATTAATGTTATACTCGAATACGTTCTAATTAAGTGGACTGATTATTCGTAGTTCCATGATCGCCATGGAAGTGTCACTTCATGTTCATGACGGTTGAAGAAGAGAATACAGAGCCCATTACGTGGATTGTTGCAGAAGCAGACAAAAAGTTGGCACCTGCGAATGTGCAGTGGAATGTTTCCAACAAAGAATACGAGTAAAAGACATCTTTTACATTTACATAAAGCGATCTGAGAGGATTTTTTATTTCGATCCCAAATGATAGTTTCATATATTACATTTGAAGTAAGGTTACTAAGCAATCTTTAAAGCTCGCCTTTTTCAGTACGCTCAGGCGTGTTTTAAGGTCCACTCAAACCGACGCGGAAAGTATGCATACCGATG